GATTCCAAAAATAATATTATATACAGAGTGTTCCATTTGAAAAATCAAAGTTTCTACTGCTTTCTAATAGAAGCGGCAACACCGCATTATCGAAAATATTTTAGTTGGCTAGAGAATGTCCGAATATGCCCTCCATTAAATTTTCAAAGTGATCCGTTGTCTGGTTCACCAGAAACGTCTAATGTGCCATCCACCGTGAATCAGCCTGTATAATTGAACTATATTGCAATAATTTTCAAATGATTCTTGATATTTTTCGGAACATTCTGTTTGTCCATAATTGCGTAACGAAATTTCGGTTTGAACTCAATTTTGTGAATGGTTGCGCCTAATTACGAGATATCAATGAATTAAGTACTTCTGTATCTACCAATAAGAAAGTAACTGGGTTCAGGCGTAAAAATAGACAAAACGAAATGTACTTACAAAATAATCTATTTATTGAATTTTTTTTCCAAATAAAGAAGTGATTTCATTTATAATACTAAGTAATTACAGTTATTTTTCCTGAAAAATTTCATACAAATTAGTCAAAGTCAGAAAAGAAAAGACACCTCTTTTGTTGACAGGAATGACAATCAATTTTCTTCACTACTTCTTCAGCATCATAAGCTGTTCAAATTCAGTGAGTTTGTGGTTTTCTAAATGTTTTCAAATACGTCAATAAATTCAATGGATTTTTTGAAGATTTGCTGTAACTGTGTCTGCGAAAAGACATTTACATTACTCTTTCCAGCTTATAAATCTAATGCATTAGTAGAAGACTTCAATACTTTTGCATATTCCACAGCATTTTCATTGAATGGATATAGTCCAGTCTTGCGAAAACTACCTTTGATAATATTCAGTTTTAGACTCTCTATAATGAATTTTTCAAGAATAGACTTCTCTTTCAGGCGATTGCCATTATTTTCCATTTGCCAAGAATACACATTTTCGCTCCAAGCATTCTTCAAGCTCTGAAATACTGCGAAATCCATAGGTTGAGATATATGGGGGGACATAGGCAAATGTTCAACTGAAATTATTCCATTTTCTTTACAAAATTCAGTCAGGTGAAGAGATAAATGAGAGACATGGCCATCAAAAAATAACACCACTGCTTTCTTTATATTCTCTTCGATCAAAATGGATTATGGAGTGTCTTGACACACCCGAAGAAGCCATTGTATGGCGAAACACGTGTTGTGTTTAGTGGAATTCTCACAATGAAGTGTTTTTAGAATAAGTTAATTATGTATTTTTATTTTCAGAAAATTAACGAATTCGAGACAAAAGTTGAATATTCTGTACATTTTTCTATAATGAGTGAAGGATGCTCAATCTATCATTTACATGTAAAATATTTCTGTTTCTTTGGAAAAATACTGTTCTCAAATGATAATAAATACCTGATACTGAGTAATTGGATCAAGTCTCATAAACAATACTATATCAATTTGATGTGTATTTTTCATTACATTTATCTAAATTATTACAACTTCCGGCGGAGATACACTCATTCAAAATACTCCACCATTGTCACTCTTTACGAAACAAGTAAACTTTTCAATAGATTCAACTGTAGTTCCCAATAAATACAAGAAATTGATAATCTCGATTTTCTCTTGATGCGTGATACTCCCGGAATATGGGTCACCAATAATAAACTAATGTACATTATTCCGGGAGGCAGAATGGCAACGATTTCTTACAAACTGCATCATGATAATTATTAATAACTATATATATTCAAAATAGAAAAATGTTTTTATGATACAAAAATATATAACTTCAATAACGAAAAGGAAGTTACAAATGAACGTTGATTTCAGTGCAATCCTATGTGAATATATTTTCTTAGATTTTTATAAAAAGGAACAGCTTCATACACAATTTATACGTATTCAGAAAATGAAAATCATAAACCGTAATTATATCTCAACGAACTACGGTATTCCGTCATTTCAAAACAAAAAACATTTCAATTATCCTGAACGCAATTTGAAATGAATAGCAAAAATAAATCATCTTGATTATTTCTTATTACGGTAATGTTACTGGAATATGGGTCACCGGTAACAATCTGAAGTACATTATTCCGTGAGCTACAAAATCAAGGTTATTGAAAAAAATTCATAATAATAATCGGAAATAGCTATAATATATTCCGTTTATGAAAAGTATACAATAATATAATTTATTCATATTGAAAATACTCACACACAACTCACTGAAGTCTTATGAAAATCAGTTTACTCGTCAACAGTACGTCTGCTCCACTCTACGACTGACTGATTACTATGTCGTTTCCGAAAGCAATATCAGGTTGATATTTTTGCAATAGGGCTCTTTTGTCTCAAGGATAGATATAGTTGATGTATGGTAATGAAAAGTCACATTATATTTTGTGTATTTCTTATTTCATGGCAAAAATCAAAAACTTCCGTAATAACGTACTACCCCGTAATAATATACTTTTGCCTTATTATGGTACACCAATTAACTGAAGATCGAACTGAACTGATCGAATGACAGAATTCTGCGAAATCATGACGAAAACCATTGCAAGGTATCCAACTCATCTACACAATATTTGTTTTAGTAACGAATGTAGATTTTTTCAAACGGCAGTGTTCACAGACAAAATTGCCGTTATTGAAGTGACACCAACACTCACGTTTTCCGGAAAACACATACCCAATATCCAGAAAAAATCAACGTTTGAGTGGGAATATTGGACCTCTATTCATTAATCGAAATTCAACAGGAGAACTGTATTTGGATATGCTGGAAACTACTGTTTATCCTCTCTTCACTGAAATCGTTGGAGCGAATATTACTCCAGACAAGTAAGAAACTATTTGGATACTACTTTTTCCGGTCGTTGGATTGGCCGTCGAGGTCCTACAGCCCGCTCGCCAGATTTGACACCTTTAGACTTTTTTATGGGGTTATTTGAAGCAGAAGGTGTACGAAACTGAACCTGCTTCAATATTGGATATACAGCAGAGAATAATAGATATTTGTAGAGATATTTAGGTTACCGTGTTCGAAAATGTTAGGCGTGACATATCGGAAATATCGGCTGTTTATATGTTGAAAAGTTCAAGGTGAGCATCTTTTGAACTGACCTGAAACTCATTGCCTCATATTATGTAGTTAAATGACAATGTATTCAGGCAATTATTAAAAGTTCCGCCATTTTGTAGTAGCTGAAGATGTTGACATTATGTTCTAGGGTTGTGAAGCATTCGACAGGAGCTTTGAAAAGATATATTACAAGACCCCTCTTTCCATTCATTTTTTTTCCAGATGGCGCCCAGTTCATGCGACCCGTTCAAAAAATAAAATGGGGTACATTGAAGAAAAGCACTGTATGTTTCTTCTTCTACCAAAGATATCGTTGAAAAGTTTAATGAATGTTAATAGGCTGGTAATATTGAGTATCCGGAAAAAATTATGATACACTAGCTGGCGAACTTCATACCACCGAAAAATACATATTTATTGTATCTGCAATTGTTTTTTGTTGAAATATCTCTAAACAAATGTCATGAAAAAACTATTATACCTTCCAAAGTATCGTACCTTGGAAGTGGGCATAACGGTCAAACGACGTTATTTGTAAACAATTTTTATGTTTTCAGTGTTGATCAAGAAGTTTTCACAATCATTTTCCATCCCAAAAACTGATGAGCGTAATGGATCAGTTGGTGGGACCAACTGAATGAATCGTCATTACAATAAACAATTTTTGTATCGTATTGGAATGCATCATTTTCAGTCCCTTCAGAACGCAATTCTCACATGCCAATACGACTATTATCATTTTTTGTGCCTCGTTCCAGTATAAATATCAGCAAAATATGTCAGTACGATCATATATTTTTTTTTGGCCGTCGGACGCATAGTCCATAATAGCCAGCAACTAAACGTTAGTTTTTCTTTCAATTTTTCGCTTTGATCCACATTAATTCAATATCAAAATTAGCTTCATATAGCCTGCTGATAAGAATTTTCAATTCCAGAATATGCGGGCTGAGTTGATATGTAAGTATGTTAATTTGTTGTGATATCTGATCAATCATTTGAACATTCGATAACCTTGGTGAAGTTTGAATCACTCCTAATATTCATTATTTGGTGTTCTGTTGGTTTCCCAAATGACGTGTCCGTAATGACGTCATTCCATCAACTGATGACTTACGTTGTTGAATTATTCAATGATGAATTTGAGAAGTATTGCTGACTACTCGTTATTGTCGCAACTCAGTACTCTCTTGACTTAATAATGGAAGTATTTTATTCGCTGTTTTACCCATTCATCATTCATCTGAATAATGAAAGAACTCATTCAAAAACTTAATTAAATATTCATTGTAACGAAACTGGGAAAATACTCAAGGAATAAACCTACACTCAAATGTCAATCAAAAATACAATAAATCACCAGAAACGAACATTTTACTGTCACCCAGCAGGATCGAAGAAAAGTAGATGTGCTGCATTGCTGGAACCTTTTCTGAAGATCAACATATATTGAATGAATTTCCCAATACTGTCTGTTGATGATCTAGAACACCCTCAATATTCATGGAGATTTATATATTGACATTGCAACTTTGATCATGTCACTGTACTGCAAATGCTCAGCATGCAGTATTTGGAAATTGTTTTATATTTCTATATCCTGTGATCGTATCAATTTTGATGTCTATGAACTTGAAATATTAAAAGATGGAATTCTGAATAATGAGTGTTTTGGTTTTAGAATATTGAAGTTGAAGTTGGAACATATTTCAATTCATGTATTCACTTGGATGGATTTGAATTATTCCATAATTATTTTCCATATTTAACATTATTCCAAAATCATTCACGATTTTTACTTGGTCAATGTTGATTCCGAAATTGATTTTTTTTGTAAATATGTATTCCTGATTCACATAACCGTATTCTAGGGGTAGTTCTTCAACGACTTTTCAAATAAGCAATAATTATCATATGGTTATGAAATTCATGGTTATGTGCAACTGAAAAAATAATATTTTTTTCAGTGAAGGAAAATCTGAATATATAGTGCATAATAAGATGCATTTTGTTATATCGGTATGAAATGCATAAACTGTGCTGTATTTTCATTCAAGTAATGGTGTTTCAACTGATTTACAGTAATAATAATAATAATAATGATACTCTTTATTCAATTTTGCATGATACAAAGAAATGTCTCACAATAAAATGAAGTTTCGCCATATAATACCTAAAAATACGGATAACTATAACATACATATACAAGTACTGAACAATAGAAAAAAATTTATAAGCAAATACATAGTATATAAAATAATAATCAGAGTAATTATGAAGTTCCTCCCTATTTATGTAAGTAATAATAATTGTGATACAAAAGTGTTATCCTACGAAACATATGGATGAAGCTAATGAGCGGTAATGTTGTTGTACTTGTTTAGCAGTAAAATGTGATAATGTTTAAAAGGAATGCGAATGATGGAATAGTTACGCAGAAGAATGAACAATGTTAAAGTAAAAACATAGTTCATAAAGTAGTATTAGTGGGAATCACAATAAAGCTCTCACTAATATGAGCAGTAAACAACAACATACTAGGGTTCAGGATATGTTTAGTAAACATGATCATCGAAATAGTGATTAACTAATTGTCTTGGATTCTCAAGAATGAACTTCTTTGATACATTTTTGAATTGAGGCAGATATATCAATATTTTTAACTGTTCAGGTAATTTATTATATAATTTTGGTGCTAAGTATTGAAAAGAACGTTGTGTTATTGTTTTCATTATATAAGGAACTGGGTGTTGGTTTCGATTTCGTGTATAGTATGGATGAGTAGTGAGAACTGGTGTTTGTGTGGAGTGATATTTTATGAGTGTAAAGAAAAAATATAGCTGTCTAGTGTCCATGATTTTTGCTTCCAGATACAGTTGATCTGAGTTGTATAGTCGATTTTTTGAGAAAATGAGCTTAAGAAACCGTTTTTGACTTATTTCTAGAAGATGTAATTAGGTTTTTGCTGCAGCCCCCATCCTAGTAGTCCATATCGAAGATGATTTTCCTCTAGTGCGTGGTATAGTATTTTCAGTAGGTGTGTTGGTAATATCTTTTTGAGATATTTGAATCTACAGAGGCAAGATATGGCATGGCTTGTCATTTATGTTCACTGTTAAGTTATTGAATATGGGTAAACCAGTTTTGTTACAGCTGAAAGGGGCGTAGTTTGTTTTTTCTAAGTTCACTGTGAGCAGTTTACTACTCAAAAATGTTTTTATTTTACTAGTCATTTTGAGTTTTTTCTTTGAGTGCCTCCCAGGTATCAGCAGTATAAAGTATTGCTGTATCATCAGCGAAACCAAGAATGAATCCATCACTTTGAAGAGAGTATAGTTCCTTCACGTATATATTGAAAAGAATGGGTCCTAAGACAGTACCTTGTGGTATTTCGTATTCAATTTTTCTCGTTTCGCTGACAACTTGGTCGAGTTTCACTCGTTGATATCTATTTGAGAGGTAACTTTCGAAGAGCTTCAGGCTTTGTCCTCTTACACCTATGTTTTCAAGCGATCTCAAGAGCAAACCGTGATGAACCGTGGACTGAAATATTCATTCACATTAGCTTTCCTTGATTTTTATTCAAAACATTTGGCTTGTCATAACTAGAAGTTATCACTTCCATCAAAATAAATAGAAAAATTAAAAATAAAACATTCAAAGTTTTTTACCACTCGTATTTGCCACTGCTACTGCAGTTTCCTCATATTAGTACCTTTCCAAACGAACACAAAGAACTGAAATAATCAACAATGTTAACCATTATATATCTAAACACCACTGTAGGTAATAACAGATGGTCCTTATTTCTACTGAGTACCTAAATTTTGTTCACGTGACAATGTGGGTACAGTAATCTGAAAACCGGCGAATAGACTAGGTCAATTTGGTCATTTAGCAGGCTACAACCGCAATGCTCATGCTCATGAATTTCCGAAGATTCCGAATAATTGAGTTCACAACCTTTGCGTTTTATCTTTCTCAGTAGAAAGGAAATTAGATAACCTGGCAAGTGGGTTGAATGCCACTTCTACACTTTTTTCAGAAAAATGCCACAACTGTATCTGTTCTTTCACCAAAATATGAGAAACCGAACTTCCTTTGTTATTTTAACATTTCATGTCATGAAATGAAAAGTTTGTATTTTCTATACTTGAAAAAAGTCTCCATGAAAAATTACTTACGTTCAATATTAGTTTGATGAAATATAGAGATTGTTGGCTTCTATTTGTACCACTCTAAACGTTTACTAGGATTCTAAAGGAACATAATCGTTTCAACCTGAAATATTCTGCAGTGAGTCCTTGTCACGAAAACGCTCACAATTCAGCATACATTTTCGCGTTTCCTTTGAACCAGTCAAAAAAATTTCATTCCTAAAATGTAACGTTCCATGCGGACAAAGAAAAAATCCCTCCATATTTCTTTCCATTATGCACTCACTTCAGGAAACGATATATTCATGAGGAGAACGTGAAATGTGGTGATTTATATGAAAAGGGGTGAATCCTAAAGTCGAACAGACGGGAAACGGAATTTTCACACTGGCTCCCCCTCTTCTACTTTCGTCAACAGGAAGATCATCACAATTCCAATACAATTTTAGTATAAAATATCATTGTACCATACGACTGATCTGTCACCACTGAAAATATAATAGTTTTTGGAAGCAAGGGTGCAATCTACGAAATGATGATAATTTTTCAATTTTCTTCTGAAAATATCATCTACTTGTTCAGTTGCATTATTTTCTAGATAGTGAAATAAGTCAATTTTTCAGATTTTTTTATCAATACTACATCGAAGGGACCAGACTCAATTTGTAGATTTGGTTATTAATTCCAAAGATAAGTGAACTCTCGAACTGAGAAAGAACTCACTTGAACTCGCTACCTAAAATTTGATGGGATGTAAAACTTCCTTGCGTGAATAATGAAGAATCGAGAATCAGCTGTTGGATAGAAATTTTGTCACCAAATACGAATATTTCATTTTCACAATGTTCACGCTCATCCGCCAATTTATAGAATTTGTCATCTCAGTTCTTTCGCCAAAATATACAATAATCTTCCTGACCACTTATTACAAAATAATATTTCAAACTGATAAAGAACACTTCATTTCGCTACCTTAAATTTAGTGGATTATAAAGATTATAAAAATAAAACTTTCCTGCATTGATAATGAAGAATCGAGAATCTTCTGTTGGATAGAAATTCTGTAATTATTTGGCACCAAATACAAATATTTAATTTTAACAATGTACATGCTCATCCGCCAAATTATAGAATATGTTATCCCAGTTCTTTCGCCAAAATATACAATAATTTGCCTGGCCGCTTATTACAAAATAATCTCTGAATCTGAGAATGAACTCACTTCATTTCGCTACCTAAAATTCGATGTTATTCCAGTTCTTTCGCTAAAATATGCAATAATTTCCCTGGCCACTTTTTACAAAATAATCTTTCAATTGAGAAAGAACTCACTTCATTTCGCTACCTTAAATTTGATGGATTATAAAACTTCCCTGCATGGTTGATGAAGAATCCAGAATCTGCTG